CTCGAGGTAGAGTTGTACGTTTGCCGGTGTATTTTTTCCCCATTGATACCCTGGGGGCGTGCTGAAGCTATCTGGCAGCGATGGCAGCAAGTTCCAGCTGTAGAAGGTCGAGTTCCAGTTCGCCAGGTCCAGACACGCCTGCGAGAAGTCCCCGCGTCGGAGATGGATGGCGAGCATTCGGTCGAAGGGATCGCGCACGTCGGCGTTGTGCGTTTTCGACGAGCGCGGCATGAACAGGTACGAGTTGCGGTCGATGGCAGACTGGACTATAGGCGATGTGGACAGCAAGCGGCTCACGGGAGAATTTTTGAAGTCCTCCCACAGCGGTAGGATGCGCTCGGAGCCCCAGACGTACAGATCGAACACTTGGGGGAAAGGATCGACTTTGAGCGACACAGGCCGGATTTCGATGCAGCGTTCGGGCGCTTCGCTGAGCAGTTTCTGCCAATGCCTGAAAATCACGTCGCCTGCCTCCCACTTGATGGCGGGCTTGACGTCTTCTGAATAGATGACGCGGCGTTCTGACTCGGGACAGACGATGTCAAACCAACGTTCTGATACTGACCGCGGGGCTGAATCTCCTTTCCCCCAAGGACCGCCGGCAGATGGGCCCCCAATGAGCGCGTTGAGGGGTGTACGCGGTCGCCAGTCGTGATGCTTGTACCATGGCCAGGGATAATACGAACGCTTCCACATGTAATCTTGGTAAACATAAGTTCGATTGGACTTGTACGCCAAGTGGGTGTTCATGAGGCTTTCTGAACATCAGAAGGAAACCAATACGAGAAAAGAACGGTGCTCACACTTCGTTCAACACATTATTCCAGCCCAGTTTTCTGACCTGATTCCTAAAATAGACGTACTTGCCATGTCTGCCCTCTGGAAACGGAAGGTCGAGATTGTGTTGAGGCAGATCCATCTCCCATTGTCTCAACTGCTTGTATGTTGGAGGCTCGTCGACTTCACCAAAAACAGAAGGGAACGCGCGCCGTAGATCTCGCTGGCCATATCCAACGAGAAAGTGGAGGATAGCAAGAATAGCGCCATAGAGGAGCCACCTTTTCTGTCTCGACTGAGGGAGCTGGTGGCGAATGCGGTTTTGCCAGCGTCGCAAAATGCGCCGTTTTGGCGAATTCGCTGCGGTTGGCAGCATGCCAGCAGATGCCAGCGCGAAAGATTGCAAACTCGTCACGAAAGCCACCGGTCTTGGTCCGATGTCGACTTGTCATCAAAGCTCACGCACACGTGCGACTACGGATAAGCGGAGATCGTGGTTTATGGGCGACCGCAGCGCACAGCTCTCCAAGAAGCGTGGACAGCGCGCAGATCCAGGTGTGTGGATCTCGTTTCATCTCCCCTCCTCTCAGCGGCACGCTCGCAGCAGAAAGCTAGGCAACACGGCGGCGACGCGACGACACTACTGCCACAGAGAGTGGCACGGAGGATGCACAGCGTGTACGATGTACGGTTACTGAAGCATACTGCGGTGCTCTGCTGTGAGCAATTTCTATGCGGTGAAGCGGATTAGTGCTCACTGAAGTACTGGCGTTTGGTCTCAGCTGCGTTGCACGCTCACAGCAGTAAGCTAGGCGACAGGCGGCGATGCGACAACAACACTAAGTACCACAGAGAGTGGCACGGGAGATGCGCAGCGCGTACGATATACGGTCACTGAAGCATACTGCGGTGAGCAATTTCTATACGGTGAAGCGGATTAGTGCTCACTGAAGTACTGGCGTTTGGTCTTAAGGGTCCTCCAGTTATTTTTCAGGCAAGGCAAATTAAAAACAAAAAAGCTGCGTTGCACGGTTGCTGTCGGCCCCTGCCCTCGTCGCCGACGTCGTTCCGCACTTATAAGTCAGTCGTTCTCCTCCACGAACGCGATCATCGCGTTGCTGACCCGCGTCTAGATTCCTCCACGCTGCCGTGTGTCGCAGCGGCTTGTCTTAATTCCTAGGACTCGGGAGGTATCGTCTTCAACGTCTTCCAGGCTATAGTTAGCAACGAGCCAACGTCGCTGGGATATGGGATGGGCGACTCACGCGTGGCTTGTACGACTACGGCTCAACTCGCGAGGGGAGACGACAAGGAAGGAGATCTGCGACGGTCGTGGGCACAGTCTCGGCGTCAGCGGTCCGGCCGCGCCGGCTCTGAATTGGGTCACAGATCAAAGTCACCACCTCGACCACCTTGCTCTGTCCCAAAAACATTACACCGACTACCTCTTGGATCGGCAGTGTACAGATTAAATAGCCGTTTGAGATTTTCTTTGTTCTATTTTCCCTTCAAGTTTGTGAAAAGCTTGCCAAGTAAAGTTCAGCTGCCTGTGTATCGCAGTAGCGACCATACCCGCCGGGCATCTATAAGGTATCACATCTGCAAATATTCTATCAAAAACAAGACCTGGTGATATACCTTAGATAGCCTAGTACCCGAACGAGTTGACGATCTCTCTTGACTTCGCGGATCATTCAAATCAACCCCTTGTACATCGTCGAGACAAGGATGCCCTCCGCGACCTCATCTCACCAGCAACGACATCATGAACATCAGCCTTCGCAGGTGATGCAGCCGATCGATTAATCTTCTTAATGATGGGAGCACATTCTCAACAAGAAAACTGATAGGCACTCGACCATACGAGGGTTAACGGTGCACCCACAAATCCAGATCGTAGGAATATGCCCACTGAACCGGTAAGCTATTTTCTGCTTTGAAGGGGCTTACTGCCACTCCATAATACTGAGACCATAACTGCCCTTAGGTAATTATACAGATACCGGATTTCATTGACCACAGGAATTATATGATGCAAATATTGCAGGTGGCTCTGCAAACTTTCATCTCGGTGGCAGTTAATGAAAGGCATCTGACATTATGAGCAGGAGACCCGCCTTGCACAGCTTGCAACTATCGAGCAGCAGCGAGAATTGATCCAATATGTACAGGGCCTACATGAATGGCTTGAACGGGACGCTGAAGAACGTAAATCAGAGAGGGAAGATTTGGTTTCACGGATAGACAGATTGAACAGCGATGTTCTACATAGCCTTCGATAATCCAATACTGGATGTGGATTTTCCAGTACATTGTATCATAATTAATCGTGAGGGTACGTCAATTTATTGGCAGCCTTCTTCGTATCAAAAATTTGCCTCAAGGTGTACAAAAATACTGTCGCCGTGAGTCAACAGCTGTCTTGCAGCATGGCCATGGTATCTTTCGCCTGACAGAGATCAATGCGTCGTTGATATGTTTTGACGGATGAATCAATCAAGATGTACCCGCATCGTAGCCCATCCCGGCTTCCTTCCTATATCACACCGCGGCAATAACAACTCAAGTAATTATCCCCGGGCTACAAAACAGATTAGAATAAAAGCTCAGGTATTGTTTGGGAAGGCGGTACATACGAGCGCCTTGAATCGCTGCACTTATTCCACCGATTTGTAAGAGTCCTAAGCATCATATCATATAGAAGTTGACTGTAACCGCCGACTAACCTGGATCTGCATCACCTTCACACAGGCCGCAGGCGTACAAGAGAAGAAATCAGTGTATCCCCCGGTTATCTGGTATGTTAATAGAATATCTAACATTGTGAATGGAGATTGTATTTATATACCGGCCGTTCAAATTCCCGTGCAAGCTCAAATTAGACGCCGTTGTAATGTATGTGGGTACAGCTTCAGATAAGTATAATGAATAAATGATCAAGCTATCACTGCGAACGATGACGGCGTCGCATAGTACCAGTCAAACGCTGATCATCAAGCTTCGACGCAGCTATGAATTAAGCTTCGATTGTCGACTTCCCTGTGGCTTATAAAGTTGCCCAATCCCACCTACATATCCCAGTCCTGCCGCTCCTTACGCCGATCCTATAGTCCAGGCTAGCCCTAGGGGAAGATATTTCGACGCTCCTGCCGCCATGCATACCAACAGAACTGCCTATATTTATCACCAATTCGGCAGTTCAATGAACGAATCTTCCGACGAGGTCGTTTTACTGCCACAATCCCCCATAGAAGATCTACGCCGCCTTTCACCTCTATCCCTCTCATCACACAACTTTTTCTTCGAATCGACATGCGCCTCCCCGATGCCGTATGAAGAGAAAGAATTCCCCAATTCACGCTATGTTCCCCCCGACGTAGATTTTTTCTCGACACAGGAGATGCAGAGTAAATTCCGTAGCTCCTTCGATACGTTGCAAACGGACGATTGTCACCGCGATTGGCAATTGACAGACGCCTTGGATCGCTACAACGACCTCGAGAACTCATCCAACTCAGAGGATTCCGAATTCGAGATGGACGAAGACATACGAAGCGCGAGCCCATCCATTTGCGCGACCGCTCGCATAGTCAAAATAACCCCATTGCGCGTAGTTAGGCGCTCGGTTAGGCGCTCATCCTTACCCGAGACCAAATCACATGGGACTCATCCGTCCTCAGCCGAGGGCGCCTTCAACACGCACGCAATTCCGCTTCGTTCGCTCTCACAGAAGTTATCCGTTGATAACCTCAAGAGACTGATCTTGCCATGGAGAACAAGCGACTTGATTGGCCCGATTGATGCCCAAGCAACCTCGTCGTCGCGTTCCAGTTCAGATATGGGGCATACCGGCGGCGCCGCGGTGGGGGACATCACCATAATAGAGCTCCACGACGTCACTCAGGAAGCCGTCCGACTAGCAGAAATGATGAGTTACAAGTGGAAGTTTGAACCCGCTGTAATACATGGGTTCGTCCAGCCGTCAGACTGAATTTCGGGTGCAGAAGTTTTCTGGATTCTTCCGAAGGTGTTCATGCTAGACGCATATTTATTTCTGGTAGGAATCATGGGATGTCGTTTTCAGAGCGGTCTTTGCGGGACTATTCCATCTTGTAATTATATACAGCGGTATATTCTGTAATATTGTATTTTTAGTATCAGTGTAAATCAAGTCCGTCAAAACGATTCAGATCCAACAAAAATCTTCAGAATAGGTTCATGCATGCATTAAGAGAGAATCGAACTCCCGGCGGGTCGAGTTACTTGTTTGTACACAGAGGTCACTGGGAAATGGCAACGACCCAGGTTACCACTACCCCATTAATGCGATACATTGCGCTCGAACCCAGTTTGACCCAATCTCTCCGTGCATGAGAAAACCGGGCTTTGCGCAGCTAATAATATGAAATAGCAAGCCTTTTTTCCAATACTAAGAGCCTTACATAGACTGTTCAGTGAAACGGCCCGGTATTCTAGCTACCAAACTCTGCTGGCTGCAAGCCATATTCGTCCACATTGTCCCGAGTCTATTCTAGCTATGCACATGCGTGCTTTTGAACACGGCCCTCCGGTCTGAACATACATTGAACACACTATACCAGCCTAAATTTTCCTCCATGGTAAATACTAAACGATTTACTGGTAATTTATGTCTTTGGGTATTTGGACCTAGGAATGTCAATTACATAGATGATAGATTCCTATTCTATCTAATCGGCCCCTATTTTCTTTACTTTTATTATACATAGGCTTCTGTCAATGAGCGGTCGGTGGGACATTTGTGACTTCTGTTCATCCTCTCGCTCGGAAGGCAGGCCGATACGATAAAACACATGTACCCTCAGCCAAGCATTTAGCCAAGATATTTTGGGTATCCAACGCGTTCGTTGTGCTTCCATCATAATGTTTCGACCAAGTATGGAATCATATTCCTAGTCCTCGAGGCTATCTATTCGAAATTCAATCCGATAATTCATTGTGCTGCGCGTTTCCCTTTTTGCATCCCCCGCGCTCCCCCGCGTTGCTTGCTGCTAGTAGCGGGTTCGACGAGGTGTAGCCACATGATAGAATATATTAATATCTTGTGAGTAATCGCATATTTGAAGGCTGCCTTGGTGGACAGGCTAGGCCAACACACCTGTAGGCTAATGAAGCACATCACTCTGAAATGTGTATCTCGCAGGCTCTTATTCAACGTATCCCTGAAGAAATCTCATAACCTCATTATCAATAATAACGTTGGCGCTCGACGTTCATCCAACCGATGGATCATCCTTTTTCCACATAATGTGAACACCACGTTATTTCTACGTTATTTCAGGCCTCTTGAAATATTCGATGCGCCGCGTTGTTATTTTTAATGTGGTTTCAGCACCATGTTATCTACGGAAAAACCGCAGGATGGTAGCACATGTTTCGTCTTCTGACTCCTCCAAGCACAAAGTTGTAGGCAAACGGCTAACCGGCTAACGTATGCACTTTATCATTGGCGCAGGCATAGAAATCGAATACACCAATATAGATTCAACGCACACACTATAAATAGACGTCTCTCAGGAGTCCATGCGTTGTTCCGCCTTTCTTGTCGACGAGTAACCACGATTCCTCGATGCAATGTTGCCGGAATTCTCGATAAAATGCTTTCTCGGAGCCTTAAAAATAGAAATGCCTGTAGCTCACAAGACACCCAACAAGTTCTAGCAGAGGCGTATGGTCATGATGTGAACTAGAAGCATACTACTCATGACGGTCGCATGTATCAGAATAGTTCATGTTTATGACCGCATGTGCGAGCGCCTCACTCTATCAACCGCAATCAGAATGATAACGGCCCATGCGTCCTTGAGCTCTCCAAACCGCTATAAAAATGGCCTTGACATCTCGAATAATATTTGTAACCCACTCAGGTTTTACACTTCCAAGCAAACATGCGAACTGGATTCTACCTGCTCGCCGCATTCGTCACCGCGGTCGTTGGAAGCCCCGCTTTCCGCAACCTGGTGGTCCACGAGCAGCGCAGCGACATTCCTGATGGCTTCGTCAAGTCCTCACCGGCGCTTGGTACCAATATGCTCAACCTCCGTATCGCGCTCACGCAGAGTGACATGGCTGGTCTCGAGAAAGCTTTATTCGATGTTAGCACACCAGGAAGCGCGTTATATGGCCAACATTTGACCAAGGAGGAGGTCAGCATCTATTTAAATTTTTCGTTTCTTTCTTAGTCGCTGACAGAATTTCGTGACACACATGTACAGGTTGAAGCTTTCGTCGCGCCCTCCCCCGAATCTGTTTCTCTAGTTCAGCAATGGCTAGCGGCGAACAATATCACCGCTCACACTATCTCTCCTGCCGGCGATTGGCTGCAATTTTCTATGCCTATTAGCCAGGCCAACACATTGCTCGACGCAGACTTCACTGTCTTCACACATCCTGAAACCGGTACCACATTGACTCGTACGCTGTCGTATTCCATCCCTTCTGCGCTTGTAGGTCATGTAGACCTTGTTCATCCTACCATCACGTTAGTAACTTTCTCGATATATCTACTGGCGTGAAACAAGACTAATAACCTTGATAACTCCAGCTTCGATAACCCGCATGCCAATCTTCCGGTCGTGGTCAGTCCTAACTTTAGGGTCATAGAGCCATCAAGCGAGGAGACCGCAGACCTCGAATCCCGCGCCGTTCCTAGTTCATGCAACACCGCTGTGACCCCCGCTTGTCTGCAGGCGCTATATGGCATCCCCACTACCCTTGCTACGCAATCGAGCAATAAACTTGCCGTGTCCGGTTTCATACAACAATTCGCGAATCAAGCAGATTTGAAGACTTTCCTCACAGCCTTCCGTCCCGACCTTTCTTCCTCCACCACGTTCGCTCTCCAGACCCTTGACGGCGGAAGCAACCCACAGAGCTCTAGCCAAGCTGGTATCGAGGCCAACTTGGATATCCAATATACCGTTGGTATCGCTTCGGGTGTCCCAACCACTTTTATCTCGGTTGGAGACAACTTCCAAGATGGTAACCTCGAAGGATTCCTTGACATCATTAACTCGCTTCTCGCCGAAACGAGCCCCCCTCAGGTCCTTACTACGTCTTACGGACAGAATGAAAACACTATCTCCGCTGCTCTTGCTAAGTAAGTCCACTTACAAATGTTCGATGGACCATGCTTAATTTTCTTTAGCCAACTTTGCAATGCGTATATGCAACTTGGTGCCCGTGGAACTTCTATCCTATTCGCATCCGGTGATGGAGGCGTTGCCGGATCTCAATCAGGTCGTTGCACAACCTTTTTACCCACATTCCCCTCCGGCTGTCCGTTCATGACCTCCGTCGGAGCCACCACCGGCATCACCGAAACCGCGGCAACATTCTCCTCCGGAGGATTCTCCAACGTCTTCGCCCGTCCTTCGTACCAATCAACTGCTGTATCTACCTACCTCACTGCTCTCGGCAACACCAACTCTGGCAAGTTCAACACTACGGGACGAGCCTTCCCCGATGTTTCAGCACAGGGTGAAAACGTCCAGATCGTCCAGTCCGGACAGACCGGCGGTGTCGATGGAACGAGTTGCTCCAGCCCAATCTTTGCCAGCGTGATCGCGCTCTTGAACGACAAGCTCGCCGCTGCTGGCAAGCCACCTCTGGGCTTCTTGAACCCATTCCTTTACTCCGCTACAGGTGCAGCCGCACTCAACGATGTCACCACTGGTGAGTTTTGACGATTGAACGACTAAGAAGATTATATGAACAAATTATTTCTAGGTGATAACCCAGGATGCAGCACCAACGGCTTCCCCGCGAAAGCAGGATGGGATCCTGTTACCGGCCTTGGAACGCCCAACTTCGCCAAGCTTTTGACGGCTGTGGGATTGTAGACATAGCACAAATTCAGAATGTAAATTATCTAGGGAATAGATTGATACCCTTCCAACATCGTATTCCATGTTCAACAAGATCCAAAGCGACTGCAGCTAGGGTTCGGTGGAACACTAAGTGCTAGACGTTCACTAATATGTCATGAGATATTTACCGTCTGACTCCGAATTGACTGAGCCCAGCAAATACCACTCAGATGATGATTGTGTGAAGTACACTTATTCTGTCTGTGGCCAACGGTTCAGTGTCAATGAGGCTTAGGACACTCAAACAAGAGAAAAATATGGTTCAAACACTTGTGAACATAGACCTCTGTTACAGCAGCTGGAACTCAAAGCCAAAACCTGCGCTATTGTCTACTAAACGGATGCGTTATTCCTGATTTAGATGCCCAAAAACGCTGCGGATTTGTAGCCTTCAGTAAGAGCATGGGTTTGGTGTAAGGACGCATCTAAGCGATTGTTAATATCAGAACCCTGTATTTGTGTACATATAAATAATGACTTACAATCCAAGTGGCGCGGTTATACTCGATGGAGGGCAGCAATGGAACGCATCTGGGCCTAATTATCACGAAATTTTATATGAATACATGATTGTCTGAAGACAGAAAGTACGAGTACAGGCGCAACTTACATGTGATGTGCTAATTAGTTGAGACACATGATAAAGTCAGTCCTTGAATATTGTATTGGGCCAATATACATGGGGCGACTACTTACGTCGGGTCCACCACCTAGTGATATTAAGAGGAATATGTGAGCAACCTTTGGATCGTGTTAATATTCAGAGCAATTGCGACTTACATTCGAAGATTGGCAATCCCCCTTGAGGACTTGGCGCAGCGCGAACTTGCAAAGCAAAGGCGACGCTGGCGGCGAGAGAAAGGATTGAAAGCTTCATAGCAGAATGTGGAAGTGAAATAAGTTGCTGAAATTTGTTCGACTTGAGAGCAATCAGCTCAACCATGCCTCTACTTATACCTTCCAAGTCGGTACGAAACTATGAATAAATTTCACTGCCGTTGACTGGAATACGTCCTACGGAGAAGAAGTGCCCCACTTTAGATCCATATTCAACGGACCTGGACATGGGCGTTGATTTGTATCAAGGCCATTCTCATAAACCCTAACATATTTCGGCGACTGCTTTCTGTTTCTCTTTAGTAATTCTGGCTGAACAACGTCCCTGCAATGTCGGACCCGGCAGGTAGATTGTTGTGCATACAAAGGTGAACAAGCTACATTTATCTAATAACTACTGTTGAGGTTAAAAACAAATATCGAAGTGTCGTTCGTTCCGGTTTTACTGCAAAAGGCTACTCAAGCAGAGTGTAATACGATTCATCAGTGAAAATATCAAAATCAAAAGAAGGTGCCTTAGACTGTGCCCACTGGAAGACGCTGATCACGTATATTACCACCTGATGCTTATTAAAGCTTAAAG